CTCAGCCGAGACCGACCTCTCCCCACTCCTCGCCAGGGGCAGCTTGGCGACCGCCGAGTGGAGACCCGAAGAGGGGCTCGTGGAGCTGAAGTCTCCTGCGGTGAGCGGCGGGGCTCGGGGACAGGGGACACGCCTTCTCGGCCCGCCTCTCGCCTTTCTGACATGGGCTCTGGGTCCCACGCAGGGTAAATTCTGGCAGACCATGGGCTTCTCGGAGCAGGGCCGGCAGCGGCTGCACCCCGAAGAGGCCCTGTATCTGCTGGAGTGTGTGAGTGGGGTCTCGGGAGGGTGGGGAGGGGGGCTGGCACCAAGGAACCGGAACAACGTTGGAGGAAAAGTTGATATAACTGCGTTTTCAGAGGACTTGCAGCTGGACTTCTAGAGCAGGAAGCGGTACCTTGCGGGGAGCGGGGATTCCAGTTCGAATTAGTGATGCTGCCCGGCTTTCCTGGCTCGCCATGCTCTTGCAGTGATGCTGGGAGGTGGAAGGGGGAGATAAAAGGGCCGGGAAGTTGCCTCGTTTGGCTGTGGCATGCGGAGAGGCTCACAGGCTGATCTCTTGGCCCCTTTTCCAGGGCTCTATCCAGCTCTTCCATCAAGACCTGCCGCTTTCTATCCAGGAAGCCTACCAGCTGCTGCTGACCGAGGACACGGTGACTTTCCTGCAGTACCAGGTATCCCCAACCCCCGGGAGCCACCCATTCACTAGGTCAGTGAGTATTGACTTGTGAGATGCCAGGCACAGTGTCATGTGCTAGGGCTATAAGACGAGGGCTGTGCTGTCCTGAGGCTTACATTGTAGTGATGGCAATTGGATAATAAAGGGGCAAGCAGACGGACTGTCCACAGAGAACCGAGTGCCAGGTTGAAGGTAAAGTAGGGGAGGAAAAGCAGTAGAGGTGAGAGAAGCTAGGGGCTTTGCCCAGGTTGGGGGTGGGTATGGTTGTAGTGAGTGAAAAATTGGCGAATGTCAGAAATAGTTTGGCGAGAGAATGGGTCAGACTTTGCCTGTGGATTGGAGGTCAGCATTGAGGGAGAAGAATCCAGGATTCCCATGATTTGGGCATGAGTCAGTGTGTGAACAGTGGCATCATTTCTGACTGGGGGGGAGCAGATTTGGGAGGACAAGACCAGTCAAAAGAGTTCTGTTTCAGAAAAGTTCATCTTGAGGCGCTTCTTAGACATCCAGATGAGGGTGTCAAGCAGACAATTGGATACCTGAGCCTGAAGTATGGGGAAGGTCAAGGCTAGAGATATAAACATGGACATGATGAGCACACGGATGGCGTTTAATCCACAGGGTTGAATGGGAGTACGGTCAAAGTAGAGGGCTGGGTGTGAGACCTGGGTAGGTTAGGGGCAGACAGAGACCAGAAACAAACTGAGGAGTGTTTGGTGATGCAAAGAAAGAACAAAGCGGTGTCATAGAAGCCAGGAGAAAGTCTTTCAAGGAGAAAATGGTCAGCTATGTTGAAGGCTGCTGAGAGATCAAGCAAGATAGGGAGGCTCCTGGATGTCTCTGTTATTGATACAGGGACACAAGGATAATCATGTGACTCTTTAGCAGAAACTCTTCCCACCGAGTCTGTGGAAATATGAGACTGGGGAGATGCCTCCCACCTTCTGCCAGTTTTTTGTCCAGAGTGTAGTCAGGAGCTTCACACTCATTAGCTTTCGTGTGAAAATGCTCATATTCTAGGGCCCCGAGGCTACAGACCAGTACCAGTTTCTGGCCTGTTAGGAATCAGGATGCAGAGCAGGAGGTGAGTGGCGGGCCAGCAGGGCTCTGCCTGCTGTCAGATCAGCGGTGGCATTAGAGTCCCAAAGGGGCATAAACCTTATTGTGAATTGTGCATGCAAGAGATCTAGGTTGCACGCTCCTTATAAGAATCTAACGCCTACCCGGGCTCGGTGGCTCAGCCTGTAATCCCGTGCCTTTGGGAGGCTGAGGTGAGTGAATTGCCTGAGCCTGCAGGTTCGAGACCCGCCTGGGCAACTTGGCGAGACCTCAGCTCTACAATAAAATTTTAAAAAATTAGCCAGGCGTGGTAGCAGCGCGCGCCTGTAGTTCCGGCTACTTGGAAGGCTGAGGAGGAAGGATCGCCGGAGCCCAGCAGGTCGAGGCTGCAGTGGCCGGGAGCGGCCACTGCACTCCAGTCTGGGCAACAGAGCGAGGCTCCAACTCCAAAAAAAAAAAGAATCTAACACCTGATGATTCCCCCTCCGAACCCAGCCCGTGGAAAAATTGTCTTCTATGAAACTGACCCTGATGCCAAAAATGTTGGAGACTGCTGTTCTAGGGCATAGTTCTTTTCTGGGCTCATTGCTATCAATTTTCTGGGATTTGGCACTTAAGAAATTGCTGAATGTTGTTTGTGCCCAGAATAGAGTAAACAAGAGAACAGGAATTCAGAGAGATCATTGGGGATGGTGTTTACAGCAGAGTATAGTCCAACCAATTCCAGGGTTTGGAATCTGGAGGGTGCAGGAAGGGTGAAGGAGGGGTGTGGGGAATGGCTCTTTTCTGGAGAAACTATTTGGTGTTTTCAAGAGTGGCCTTCTGAGCCTTCCCTTTTTTTTTTTTCTTTTGAGGTCTTCAGCCACCTGAAGAGACTGGGCTATGTGGTTCGACGATTCCAACCAAGGTAAATATGTCTCTTCCTTCCTATTCATTCTAGTCCTGGGACCTGACTGACTTGTCCTGGCTGGGAAATGGCCTCTTTTTACCTTTCGGCTGGAGTATAGCTCCCTGGATATGAATGGTGGCCTCTGCTGGAAGTGTTCCGTAGAGAGGCCTGTTGGGATAAATCCAGGTCATTGCAGTTTATCCTGGGTTATCAAATTGAGGCCCATCTCCAGATGGATTGAGCACATATAGCTCACTGAGCATTGAACTGGAGTGCTGGAACGGTGCCTGGCACTTAGTGGGTATGCAGGCAGATTTCTTGAATGCTTGCCTGAGTGAAGTACTGAGTGAGAAGCTGAAGGACTGAGTAGAGTTTCACGGTTTTTATGTTAGGATAGATGGTCTTTCCTTCATCACCTTAGTAATCTAGCATTGCTAAGAGCCACAGAGACCTTCAGCCTTAGAGTGGAAACTAGTACAGCCTTTGCAGTTACAATATGTCACAGAGGCTCTAAAACAGGCACACCCTTTACTCCTTGAAAGCGGAATCTGTCTTCAGAACATAATCATGGATGTGTGCAGCGGGTCACCTGTGAGAATGATCAACAATATTTATTTATCTGTCACTGGGGGCTAGCGCCTGTACTTGATGCCAGGGAACAGCAAAGTCACCGCCCTCACAGAGCTTGCATTTAGTGGAGAGCTCACATAAAACACCATCACGTTGCAAAAGCAATGCACGTGAAAACAACCTACAAGTTCAACAATGGAAGCCTGCTCACATGAGTTAGAATTTATCCCTTAGAGCAACTCCATACAGTAAAACTTTCTGTAGTGATGAAAATGTTCGCCGGGCGCAGTGGCTCATGCCTGTAAATCCAGCACTTTGGTAGGCAGAGGCGAGAGCATTACCTGAGCCCAGGGGTTCGAGACCAGCCTGGGCAACTTGCTGAGATCTCGTCTCTATGATAAATTTTAAGAAATTAGTCAGGTGTGATGGTGCGTCTGTGGTTCCAGCTACTTAGAAGGCTGAAGTGGAAGAATCACGGGAGCCCAGCAGATTGACGCTGTGTTGACTGTGAGTGTGCACCACTCCAGCCTGGGCAACAGAGTGAGACCCAGACTCAGAAAAAATAATAATAAAATATTCTTGGCCGGGTGCAGTGGCTCACGCCTATTATCCCAGCACTTTGAGAGGCCAAGGTGAGAGGATTCCCTGAGTTCGCGGGTTCAAGACCAGTCTAGGCAACTTGGCAACACCTCATCTCTACCATAAATAAAAAAATTAGCCGGGCATGGTAGCGTGTGCCTGTAGTTCCAGCTACTTGGATGGCTGAGGCAGAAGGATTGCCTAAGTCCAGTAGTCTGAGGTGGTGGTGCCTGTGAGCTTGTCACTGCACTCCATCCTGGGTGACAGTGAGATTCCAATGCAAAACTATATATATTCGATGTCTTTTTTGTCCAATATATGAGGCTTGAGCAATTGTGGGACTGAATTTTTAATTTTATTATTTTTTTTTCATGAGCTAGGATCTCTATTGCCCAGGCTGAATTGCGGAGGTCTGATCATAGTTCTCTAACCTCAGTCTCTTGGCCTCGATTGATCCTCCTGCTTTGTCCTCCCAAGATGCCAGAATTACAAGCATGAGCCGCCATGCCCACCTTAATTTTGTTTAATTTTAATTGACTTATTTAAGTAGCCATCTGTGGCTAATGGCTGCTTTACTGAACAGCACAGCCTTCGAGCCACGCAACATTCACGGCATGGAAGACTGCTATAGTGGCAGACAGAGTGACAGAAAAGGAGAACACAAAGTAGTATGTTAGTATCATGCCATTTTTGTTAGAAAAAATATGTGGAGAGATTACTCAGTGTGTACATGTAAGAAACAAAAATGTTAATAGAGGTTATTCAGATCTTTCATTTTTCTGTGTTTTCCAAGTTTTCTAGCTCCTCCTGGCCATTGGTGAGACCCAGAGGCCTGGACAAAGGTACAGGTCTGCCGGGGCTCTGGTCCTGGCCTACAGACTGTCCCCTCAACTCAGTCCCTCACACATCCCACTGGAGCCCCAGGCTGAGGAGGTAGATCTGTTGCTCACCGCTGTTCTGACTCCACAGCTCGGTCCTGTCCCCTTATGAGAGGCAGCTTAACTTGGATGGCAGTGCCCTTAACTTGGAGGATGGAGAAGGCAAGAGGAAGAGGAGGAGCTCCAGCTCTCGGTAACACTCTGCATCATGGCTACCCCCCAGGGAGTGCTGGTGTCTGGGACCTCAGAGAATGCATAGGCTTAAGAGTTAGGCGTGGGCGCTCCCATGCAGGCTCAAGGAGACAGTAGGGGACCTGTCCTCAGCTCGCGTGGGAAGTGTGCGCCTCAGCAATCAGGAGCAGATGTGCTGCTTTTCCTCCCACGTCCCTCAGGTCCATTAATAAGAAGGCCAAAGCCCTGGAGAACTCCCTGCAACCCGAGAGTCTGGCAACCTCCAGTCCACCTCCCCGCAACCAGCACAGCCGATGCCCAGAGGAGAAACCCCAGGAGTCAAGCCCCATAAAGGGCCCAGGGCCCTTTCAACTTCTGGGGTTCCCAGGTCCCAGCCCTGGGCTGGCCGAGGAGGGGGTGGGGTGCAGCTGGGACAGTGACAAAGTAGAGAATGGAGTCAAGGGTGCTGGTAAGCCACGCTGGAACTTTGAGCAGATCTCCTTCCCCAACATGGCTTCAGACAGCCGCCACACCCTCCTGCTTGCCCCAGCCCCAGAGCTGCTCCCAGCCAATGTGACTGGGCGGGAGATGGATGCCGAGTCCTGGTGCCAGAAGCTGAACCAGCGCAAGGAGAAGCTTTCCCAGCAGGAACGGGAGCACCAGATGGAAGCCAGACACTTCGGCAAGGACGTAAATGCAGACCCCGAGGTGCAGCGCTGCTCCAGCTGGCAGGAGTACAAGGAGCTGCTGCAGAGGTGGCACCTGAACATGAGCCAGAGCTGCCCTGCACACCTGTGGGACCAGCCTGTCACCCCCTTGCTGAACCCCAGCCAGGCAGACTCCCCAGGTACCCCTCAACCTGCCACATCACTGCAGGTCACTGGCAATTGAGGGAGGGAGGGATCATAAGACTTTGGAAGGGGCATGGGTGGACCAGAACTGATTGAGGCTTAAAAAAGAAGCAGGGCTGGGCATGGTGGCTCATGCCTATAATCCCAGAACTTTGCGAGGCCAATGTGGGAGGAATGCTTGAGGCCAGGAGTTCAGGACCAGCCTGGGATAAAAAATTCTGTTAAAAAATTAGCTGGGCATGGTTGTATGCACTTACAGTCCTAGCTACTTGGGAGGTTGAGGAGGAAGGATTGTTTGAGCCCAGGAAGTTGAGGCTGCAGTAAGCTATGATGGCACCACTGCACTCCAGCCTGGATGACAGAGCAAGACTCTGTCTCAAAAGAGTTGTCCTCAGCCAGGCTCGGTGGCTCAGCCTGTAATCCCGCGCCTTTGGGAGGCTGAGGTGAGTGGATTGCCTGAGCCCGTGGGTTCCAGACCCGCCTGGGTAGCGAGATCTCATCTCTACAATAAATCAAAAAATCAGCAGGGCGTGGTAGTGCATGCCTGTAATTCCGGCTACTTGGAAGGCTGAGGCGGAAGGATCGCCGGAGCCCAGCAGGTCGAGGCTGCGGTGGCCGGGAGCGGCCACTGCACTCCAGTCTGGGCGACAGAGTGAGACTCCAACTCAAAAAAAAAAAAGAGTTGTCCTGTGGAGTGGAGCCTACAAGGACAGTCAGTTCTCCCAGCAGCAGCATCAAGGCCCACGTGGGAAGGTTTAGAGATGGTGAGTCAGGCCCAAGGAGAGGTGAAAAGGGGTGAATACTGTGACCACATCCTTAAAATCATTAACAAGATGCACATGGGTGGATTTGCCACCAGCTAGCCATGGTCCCTCTTCTCCCAACACTGTCAGCTGAAACAAGGAGGTGTCATCTTGGCCAAATGAAAGGAAGGCTTACCATCTGCTCTAAGTACAGGGAACTAATAGGGCAAGAGTGGCCTAAGCGAAATGTATTAATGAATTCTGAACTACTTGAAGTCCTTATGGGAACATGGTGGATTGTGGGCAAGGTTGCCAGATCAGTTAAATTTGACTTTAAGGTAAACAGCTAATTTTTCAGTTCAGTTCAAGTATGTTCCAAAAACTTCATGGGATATATTTTTTAAAAATTTGCTAAATCACCGGGCTCGGTGGCTCAGCCTGTAATCCCGCGCCTTTGGGAGGCTGAGGTGAGTGGATTACCTGAGCTCGCGGGTTCGAGACCCGCCTGGGCAGCGAGACCTCATCTCTACAATAAATCAAAAAATCAGCCAGGCGTGGTAGTGCATGCCTGTAGTTCCGGCTACTTGGAAGGCTGAGGAGGAAGGATCGCCGGAGCCCAGCAGGTCGAGGCTGCGGTGGCCGGGAGCGGCCACTGCACTCCAGTCTGGGCGACAGAGTGAGACTCCAACTCAAAAAAAAAAAAAAAAATTTTGCTAAATCTGGCAATCCTAAACTAGATGTCAGATCCAGAAATTTGACTTCCCTCCCAGCACCTTATTTTCACTCTCCTTGTAGCCATGGTCCTTCAGCAGATCTCTGTGCTGCAGACAACACACCTTGCTGATGGAGGTGCCCGGTAAGTTTCTAAGCGTGGCATCTCTGGTCCCTGGGTTGCCACAGAAGTAGGCAGTTGGGATTTGGCACTTAAGGTTGGGTGCGAGCTAGAGGGTTGTCCCAGGGAGAAATGGTGGGTTTATCCCGAGGGTTTGGAGCCCCTCCTCAAGTGGCACCTGTTGAGGCTGCTTCCTGGAACTGGTAGAGGGAAAGGGTGGGATGAAAAGGAAAGGTGGGGAAGGAAAGTTCATGTCCTGTCATTTCTCACTCTTCTCAGGCTGCTGGAGAAGTCTGGGGGCTTGGAAATTAGCTTTGATGTCTATCAGGCTGACGCTGTGGCCACATTCCGAAAGAATAACCCTGGCAGACCCTATGCCCGGATGTGCATTAGTGGGTACGCAACGAGTGAGCATTACCCCTCCCTGCCAGCTGAACAAAGAGGACCTTCACACCCCTGGCCAGTGTGCCAATCCCTGAGAGGAACCTGAGGTCCAAAGAGGTTAAATGACCTACACCAGGCACATAGCGTTAGTGCTGTGGGAACCGACCTGTTCCTCATCGTTGGCATTTTTGGGTGGTTTCTCCCCTATGCCACTTTAAGTCTCGGGCTCACCCAGCAGAAGGGATGTGGATTAGAAGGATTTACAGGCTAAGATTCTTGAGAATTCCTAGCTTCTTATCCAACTAGAGCTCTGGGCTGTCTTGGGGAACTCATTAGAGCCATGTAGTTTGCAGACAGGGGAGTCCAGGGACCAGAATTCTTGCATCCCCAATTCCTGCTTTACAACCTCCCTTCCCTGGGAGCTTGGGGTCTCAGCGTTCATAGGTGGGCCATGGCCAGGTCTCACTCTAACCCTTACCCCTGCAGATTTGATGAGCCTGTCCCAGACCTCTGCAGCCTCAAGCGGTTGTCCTACCAGAGCGGGGACGTCCCTTTGATCTTTGCCCTGGTGGATCATGGAGACATCTCCTTCTACAGCTTCAGGGACTTCACGTTGCCCAGAGATCTGGAGCACTGACCACACAGCTCTCCGGGGGCTGGCCTTTGCTCTGGGGGACCTGGACCGTCTGTTCTCAGGGACCATCTCAGCTGCCTCCTGTACCCAGACTCTGACCTGTAGCTGCAGGGGCTAGTCTGGGCCTTGGCCCTGGGTGTCTGATACTTGCAAGAGGGAAACTGCCCCTCCCTGCTTCCCTGCTGCCTGGCAGTGACCCTTTTAGAACTCAGGACTAGCTAGATTTTAGCGACTCAGCAGGTAGGGCAGAAGAGAGGACTGTGCCTTTAACGAGAGGGTGCCTGCTTCGTGCCATAAAAGCCAAAGCCATTAAAGATAGATCTCTTTTCTGTTGTGGGTGGATATATTGGACCCCCCCCCCC